TTGGTTTGGGGGGAAGTCCCCCCCCCCCCCCCCCCAACCCCAAATATTTAGGTTTAGCGCCAATTTAAAGTCAGGAAATCATTGATCGCTTTAAATAGGTTTTGACTAATTTCAGAGTTATATTTGTTTCAAAATGTAATTCTTGCTCAGTTTTGAACTGCACAAATGCAACAACTACCCTGCTCATTAAAATATGCACTGCTGTTTACTGCGAATTGTGTTGATATAAGGAAGGTTTATTGTATAAAATATCATTTTTATTGTTAACAAACTTTCAACTGTCCTTGTACGGTAACTAAAGGTCTTTTGTTTAAAATATCTATTGGCCTCTTTATTTAAACTATGTTAGAAAATGGAGCTGTCAGGGAATGTCAGTCTTTTTAACGATGCGGATTCCTTCCTTCTTCCATCCGCATGCACCTGAAAGTAATAGCTTAGTCGTTCCTCGCATTTTAAACGGTTGCACCTAAAGAGAATATAGAATTGGAGATGCAAATGTAAAATCTGCGAGTCTAGCGAATGATTTTCCCATTCTTGTTGCAGGGTATTGGTGGGAGCTCCTCGCGGGAACTACAGTTCTGCGGAATACTCTTATGACCCGAAGGATATCCCAGAACCAGGACTTATGTATAAATGCAGTCTGGGTTACCCATCGGGTGATGAATGCATGGAAATTATTGTAGACTCCACCGGTGAGTGACTCATCCACTTTCACGTTCCCTCTCCCAGGAACTAGTTGTGGGGAGGAAGCAGGGTTGTCAAAAGAATCTGTAAGCTACGAAAAGCCAGGCTTCTGTAATGTGAAAAGCTCCAATAGCCTTTTTCCAATTTTCAATTATCCAGGTACATTATGATTATGATTCATCTGGTATTTTAAATTATTCATGAGGCATGGAATAAAGTGTACGTAAGTTTTTCACATTGTTCCATTCATGTCCCACGTGGTCGAAATCTGAATCCGCCGGGCTGTCTGGTGGTGTCCCTTGACCTGTGTAGGCTTTAACAAAGGTTTATTCCCCCCGCACTTGAGCCCGCTACCCCGGAGTGGTACCTCCCATGCATGGGTGTCGAAGTCAATTTAAAATGTGTCAAACTGGACTGCTAATAGGTGTAGTAAATGCTTAGTGACGAGATTCCCTATCTCCTTTCCAGGGAATAATTTCTATGGTGAGGAAATAATCGAGCGCAAAAATCATGGATGGGTCGGAGGAGCTCTTGATGCACAACCTATCGATCATGGGAGAGTTTTCGTGAGTTTGACAAAATATTTTATTATACGTAGGCTAGTGAGTTACAGTCGTTCGGCAAACGCTCAGTTGGTCCTAGTAGAAGTGGGCTGGGAAGATTGGGCGCTGCGTTAGACGTAAAAAGTAGTGCTAGGACTTAAAACAGAGTTTCCCAACGTGGTACTCGTGAGTCTCAAATGACTCGTTAAAACTCGTTAAAAAGTATCCAAAGAAATCCAGAATTTCTGAGTCCAATTTTTTTTCTTTCTTGCTATCGATTTATGCATGTACATAAGGTTGTGTCCCTGATTAAAATATCATTGAGATTCTTAGAGCCCCGTTTCGAAATCCTTTAAGAAAAAGGCTGAGAAAGCTTGGCCTAATGTTTCTTAAGTTTGGTCATAGCCAAGTAAAATGACCAGTTCCATATGCTCTTTATTCCATCTAATAGGCCTAAGGAAAAAGCAAAACGATAAAAGTAAAGACCACATGCAACCTAAAGGGAAATGCACATAGATTAAGTCACAGTTACAATAACAGTTACGGTACAGAGAGAAGTTACCCAACATTATAGATGTCCTATGATTTATTATCATTTTTTGACCAGGTGGGACTGCATCATTAGCTCTTACAATGGTATGGTAATGCATCATGAGTAAGGTGTTGATGTTTTGGGACCTTTAAGCACTCTGCAAGTATTAAAGTTTCACGTATTAAACATTTTTTTTTATAAAGTGGCTTTAAATCTAGGGCTGTCCTGGATCAATTTTTTTCTTTCATCAGCTGAGTTTTGAGTAGTGGACATTATATGAAGAAGGGCCCCATGGGAATGGAACTTCAAAAGACCAGCCATGGCTAGGGAGGTTAGCCTTGGATGTAAGGAGGAAATGGGCTGCCCTTGATTTAGCCAGTAGCAGTTATTCATTCTTACTTTAAGCTTCCCTCCTGTGGCATTAACGAGCTAGACCCGACATCTAATAACAGATATCTTTTTTTAAAGTATGACATGCTATTTAATGACTGGAAACTAAAGTGCCTGTTTAATTTTTTGGGATTTGTATCTATTATATGATTATATTTTCATTGGTTCCGTATCTCTCTCATCAATGTCTTCCATCACCAGTGATGTAGAGGGTAGCTATGAACCCTGTTGGACTTTAGTCATTTTGAGTTTGGGGTAAAGTGAGTTTGGACACAGGATTGCCTCCTAGGGAGCACCAAGCTCTGTCCCACAGGCACAAGGTGGGGGACCCACCTGCCTTTCCCCCTCCTATAAAATACACCACTGTCTAGGACTATATCTGCATGGGAAAATATCCAAACTTGCTTGCAAAGCAGCTGAGATATGAAGGCTCTTGATTCTTTTCGGAACATCCCATAACAAATTGTAAAATTTAGCCGAAAGTTTCTGTCCCAAGTTTCATTTGAACAGAGCTAATAAAATGTTTTTATAGTTTACTGGCAAAAACTCACTTGGTAACTAGTCTAATAGATTTTAGACAATAAATTAAACTGCTCTCCCTCATGCTACCCTTAGCCTATCAGACCGAGCCTATTTCATTCCAACTCATTTTCCAGGTTTGTGGATCACAGTGGAAGAACCAGTTTCATCGAGATCGATATAACATGAATGGTGCATGTTACTGGTTTGATGCCCATATTCTCTCTCGTAGAGGAATCAAGTTCTTACCACTCATTCATTCGGGTAAGTGTTCACATTCAATATCCAGGGGTTTTTAAGCTACATTTGACACAGGCTCATGTCTAGAATTAGACTTTATAAAGTGATACTTTATAAAATGAATAAAATAGACCTTGTTTCATTACTTAGGAGACCTATCCTTTATGATGGACTGTATCAATAGTAGAACCATTAAAATATTTCACATTTTCTTTGATAGGGTCTATACAAGGGTTGCTTACAATATGTTTAAATTCACATGCCAAATGAACAGTGGCTTGAGGTTATTTGCCTGGAAAGGCAGGTTGTGGATAAGGACTGCAGATGGGAATTGAGAGAAAATCATGGTGCACGTATACTCTAATGCTCTCGATCTTCCTGATCCCACAATAGGCTGTGAAATGCAATTCTTGTCTAGCATGCTGATGAAAAAATAAGGATATTAATCAGGAAAAGTTGATAAAGCTTGGAATCTTTATACACTCACATCTGATTGAGGAGCATCTCATTCTTTTGTGACAAATCTTTAATTGTAAATTCCAGAATTTATAGGCAATTCATAATTTAAATCAAATGGTGATTCTAATTTTTTTCCCATTAATTTATAAATACCGTAAGTCAAATATTAGGCAAAATACTAAGCATCTAGACATTTTCTGAGTTTATTTTCATCCATACATTCATTGTCAAATCTTACCGTCTTGCATAATTAGGCTAAATGTATAATGTGCTTTACAATTTTATGGGGCATTTTTTCCATTTAAGCTTCTATATTGTTGGCCTAATCGCCATTGCAACTATAAAAGGAAAACATTGCAAGCATCGTGTAAGTGTAACAATCTGAATAAGTCATAATTACAACAAAAGTATAACAGTAAACCATGTTTTAAACAGTAGTGGTTCCACTAAGTTTTTTTTTTTAGGCCATCCTCTGAGAACATATGATCCATATTGCTGTGTTACTTGAGTCTGACAATGTCTCCATATCCCTGCATATTCCCTTGTTTTTTCCCTTTGTTACTACCAGGCAAGCAGATCCAGGGGACCCAGATCCACTTATACAGTATGGGTCAGGCAGGCTTCTCAGTTCATTTCCCTCCCTCACAATCTGAAGTCTTGGTTGGAGCACCAGGTGTTTACAACTGGAAAGGAACTGTCATTCACTTTGGGGAACATTTTGGTACTGGACCTGGTAACCCTCTTCCATCATCACGTAAAAAGAGGGAAACCAGCAATCAAAGTCCCAGCATATTCAGCAAGATCAGTGTTCCCAACCCACGTTCTCTTCCTTTTGATCCATATTCATACTTTGGTGAGAAGTGTCCTCTAATAAGTGTAATAAATGGAGATGTATTGGTACTCACATAGCCAATCTAATAATCCTGTTTATGGGTCTGTCCATGTCAAGTGGTCCTCGGATTTTATCTGGATATTTCTATAAATATGCTAATATTTATTTTGTTACAAAAGTTCATCATCTCTCTTCCCAGAAGGCATGCATTTTGGAGAATATTACATTAAAAAATGAAAGAATTAGTCATGTTTATTATATATTGTACATAACATTCTCTTGATAATCATGGGTGTGATGAATATGCAAAACTGAAGAGACTTAATTAGACTATTGGAACTAATGCCAACATAGGTTCTCCCATGCGTGCTGATAATTTCAAATTAGGTCAGGTGTGAAGAGTAGATGTCAATTGTTCACATTTGAATGATACCTTTAGAATAACATTAAAATATATGTATAGGCTTCTCATTTTAAAATACATCTTCAGAACATGTCAAATGTGACACTCCTGTCACATCCAACACAGTCACAAAATAGTATTACTTTATTTTCTAAGTTTTGTAATTCTGAGGTTACTTACACTAATTCTAGACTTTCATTTAAATTATAGAATGAACATAATACTAAGTTATTAAGTTTGCTCTATGACAGAAATGTGAATATTATGGCAAGTGACTTTAACCTGAGGTTTAAAAAAATGTAATGTCTGACACTTTTCTCCTTACAAAAGAGAACAAAAGAGAGTATGCAAGACTTTGGATTATGGAATTTTCAGTCACTGCCTTAGGCAAATTCTTGCAGCCTTTATATGTTGATTCATAGTTTATAATATATTTAAATGCATTTTGTATATCAAACATATTACTCCAGATGTCACGTCACATGTTGGGCAGACCCTTATGGTTTTCGTGTCTGCTTCTCTGGAGGAGGCTGGCCAATGTATCTCCCTTTCTCTCCTGATCAGCTCCCAGAGAAAAGACAAGCATCTTAGCTTCTCTCCTTTCAGCCATCCAGAGGAGACCATAATTAGAATCAGGAGATAAGTTATGTTTATTTGTAGAACTCCTATCTGGTCTTTCCAAAATTTCAGAGACTGGTGGCTTGTCTCTCATGAGTAATGAAATCAAAAATTTATTTAGGACAAGTGGGCTTGCCTCATTGAATCCTTAACCCTTCCCAAGCAACACATGACATCCATGCAGTTTTGCTGCAACATGACCTAAGCCACATGACATTGCGGTAATGTCGCATAGGCATAATGTAGATCAGGGGTGTCAAACTGGCAGCCTGCAGGCCGGATTCAGCCTGCCAGTCCATATTGTCTGGTCCATGAAGTCCTCTTCAACAGTCTGTTATAGTAAAGTAGTGTACATTTCAGCCTGTTTGCATTAAAGATTAGGTGTTTTTATTTTTATTGTGGTCCCTAATCACCCCTGAAGGCTTCCATCTGGCCCCCAGCCGAATTGAGTTTGACATCCCTGATTTAGATGTATGTATTGCTTGGGTTTGGAGGTTGAATATTTTTGTATTACTTGTAGTGCTCGGGTTGAGATTTTTTGCACGTTTTGTATATTATTAGAATTTAGGTTCTAGTCCTGTTTATTATATTAATATACATGTTTACCCATTTTTGGCATAGTTGATTGAGTAGGATAGTCAGGTAATTAAATTTTTGTTTTGGTTGTCATTCCTAGGTTGAGATTTGAGCTTAGTACCCTCATGTTCACATGTCTTCTATTAATTTTTTAAAAATAAACTCATCAAGGTAGTAAAAAATGGAAGTGCAAGTCAAAACATGTCTAAAATATGTAAGGACATATCACAACTGATTTTCAAAACCACTATAATACTAATCAGTAACTATAAAGCATTAAAGTGTAAAAATTGATACATTAGTTCATAACCTGTGAGGCACAGGACAGCATGTACTGACACCTTAGTGTGTAACTGCCAAAGGGTTAATAACAATGTAGCCCTGTTTATATTAGTCAGATATAGAAACTGTTGAATTTTCATACCAACAGGTTATGATGTGAACTCTGGCTTCTTCAGAGACGAAAATGAACTTCTATATGTTGCTGGAGCACCTAGAGCTGGTGGATCACAGGAAAATGACATGGAGGGCAAGGTCATCTCATTTTCTTGTTACAGTTATTGTTACAATTGCAACTCAGTGACTTAAATGAGGAGTTTCATGTTTCTGAAGAGTGAACTAGGGTTGTAAACTTTTCTTAAATTGCATATTGCCTTTTACTGCCACTCAACCCATTCTAGAATATGAGTTTTGCATTTCCAGTTCATGTGTGAATGTATGCAGACATGCATGTCACAAGCATCACGAAATCACACAAAAAAAAATTTCAAGTGTTTAATGGCTTTAGGGGGGAGGAGGTGCTGAGTGATGTGACAATGCAGGGGAAGGGTGGCTGAGCAAAGAAGGAGCAGCAATGAACTGCAGCTGACTATATCTGAGTCTCTCTACATTGCTAGGCTTGAACACCAGAGCACCAAATCCATTTTGTTAATAATGGGACAGAAATCGATCAATCAGTTTATTCAAGTATTTCAGCTCATGCTATACTATAATTTCACATCTCTGTAATCTTTTATTGACTCTGCCTAAAACCCATATTGGCCCATTTTCTGTTCATGTATTTTCTATTTTTTGTTCTTTATGTAATTTTTATTTTTCCCTTCAGGTATGATCTGTATTTGCTTTCAGCATGGGGTGGTTTTCTCTTTTTTCTAGTATTTCTCTGATACATTTAGCCAGTGAGTTCCAGATCAGTGTACTTAGCAAACAGTTGCTTCAACTTATGTTTACTTGGGGATTTCCAAAAATACTTAGTCAGGTAGTTTTTTCTTATGTCCTCATATGCTTTCCACTCTAACATTTCATGGTAGTCATCTTCCACTTTCCAACAATAAAGACATTTATATTCCCCCAAGTTCTCATTCTCCATTTGTATATGCCTAGTTGAAATACAGCTAAGGTTCTTCTATCCCTTTCTGAGACTTTTTCCAAGTATTCTGCCACACATTCTTTTTAGTATTTCTTTTTACAGGCTCAACGTTCTCATTTCTTCATTTTCCTTTTGCTGGGTCTTCATACTTTGGCTCCATAAAGTATTCCAGGGAGTAGCAGCATGTCCAGCAACTTCATTGCATAAGCTACTTGCCTACTGGGTTGCAGATTCTTCTGTAGAAATAGTAGTTGTATCCATAATTGTTTTCCTTTATAGATACATGGATTCTCCCATTTTACCCCATGAGCCAGTTCTAGAAAAGATCACACCCAGGTACTTATACTCAGGAACAACTTCTAATTTCTGGGACAGAAATTAGGACATTGGTTACCCTAATCAAAGTTGATTCTTATCCCCCATGCCTCTGATAAACTCTTTTGACTAACAAAATTTTCTGTTACCCATCTTCCCACGCTGATCATGACATAGCCAAAGACAAGTACTGCTTATATTAAACTATTGTCAAGACAAGTGCTATTGTCGCACCTTTGGTGCTCCATTCCCTGCATAGTGATTCATTCAATAATTTATTTTCAAAGTGGCAACAACATATTAAAAGTATGTGCCCGTTGAAATGTGTCTCAAGAGGGAACAAACTGATATTTTCATTGGAATAATTGCTCCCATTGTTTCTTGTGTGCCTAACTTCAAATCTCTTCATAATCTGCCCTGAGGGGTCATATTTCAAAAGTAGGACATGTGCTCAGCAATTGAACAGGTACTTCTGCTCCAAGTTTCAACTTTCTTTAGTTCTCTCCTTCATTGAATCAGAAAATTTTCCAGAAAATGCACCTTTTGCAAAAAATATGCTCTCAAGGGTTTTACCTAAAAAATTAACATTTTTACTGAAATCAGTACTCAGAGAACTACATGCATACCGAGTTTCAGACTTATCTGTTTGCCCTTTTTGCTGGTGCAAAAATATCTTTGGAAAAGCCAACACAGTGAAAAGCTGTGCCCTGGGGTATGCACCACAAAACTTGAATTTTTTCTGAATTCACTATTGCCTAAGTTATTGCTGTGCCAAGTTTCACATTTCTATTTCTGTACAATTCAGTGGACAAAAAAAAATGTCCATGTCACGTTTCAGCTTTCCATGTCTATCCATTTGACTGAAGCAAAAAAAAAATATTTGAAAACATCTCCCCTGAAATTTGTGCCCCCAGGGCATTTACCTCCAAAGCCTGAATTTTTCTTAATTCAGATTCTCGAAAGGTACTTATGTATCATGTTTCATCTTTCTATCTCTGGCCAATTCGCTAGGAAAAAAAAAATTTTTGAAAATGTCACCCCCCCCAAAAAAAAATGCCCTCAGGGCATACATCTGAAACATGACATTTTCCTGAACTTTGTGTCTCAGTAGGCACGTCCATGCCAAATTTCAGCTTTCCATGTCTCTCCGTTTGACTGAAGAAAATATATATCATTAAAAACATCTCCCCCCCCCAAAATGGGTGCTCCCAGGGCAACATGCATGTCTGCATACATTCACACATGAACTGGAAATGCAAAACTCATATTCTAGAATGGGTTGAGTGGCAGTAAAAGGCAATATGCAATTTAAGAAAAGTTTACAACCCTAGTTCACTCTCTAGAACATGGTTAGAATTAGCGCCAGTCAGTCAGTCATGATTGTCTGTATATACTGCTTATATTAAATGGCTATTCTTCTGAAACACCCTACCTCAATAATAGGGTCATTATTATATCGGGTTGCTGATGAACGATGTGCAATGTGTAAAAATTAATTTTTGTGGTGGGATTATCCTAAATGAGTATTCCAAATAATCCTCAAATGAGAGTTCCAGAAAGGATATGACCATACCTTCTCTCTCAGTCCAATGAATTAAAAAAAATACTTTTCTCTATAAAGGAATCATCTCAACATGAGGAATTGAATCCCAGAACTGTATCCAAATTCATATTCATCATGGTCAGAGCATGGTGCATGAAAGAAGGGAAAGAGAATAATTATTGTTTTCTAGAAAAAGGGGGAGAGTTTATTAGCTCCCTCATCATGAGCAGCTCCCTCTAGATATACAGTAGTTCTGATGAGGTGAGGACAATACAATTGATTGCATCTCAGCATCATTTCATGGGTCATCTCAGGATTTTATTTGATAGGTGTCTATATATTTTTTCATAATTCTTTTAAATCCTACTTGCATGTATAAAGTAGCATCCCCCCCCCCAAAAAAAAAACAGGATGATAAGAGAATGGGTGTAGTATGCCGCAAATTAGATTTGCATGAGAAAAGTTATTGTCCAATTTTGAATTGCCAGCAATAATTTTGCCAACATGCTGTAATTTTGACTTCATTCACACATACCATTTCCCCCTTAGCACATAAATGTGAACATGTTTGGACTCACTTGTCCCCTTCAGACTCAAATGGGCAGACTCAGATGCAATAATGCTTCTGAATTCATGACATGCAGGAAATGCAAACTGTGAAATGGCCTTTGTCAATTCTCTCGAGACAACTTACTCCTCAAACTGAATGAGCCTAAAGTGGCAGAAGAACACATTCTCTCTTGACCTTTTTGGTTCCCCAGTTTTTACAGCCTGCAGAGTGGCCATGGAGGTCACTTTATAGCTTTTGGAGAAAAATGTCTGATCACCTTAACTTTGATGGTAATAATGCACAAAAATTTATTGTGAGACATATCACATATGTGTATCACACTTAAGAGTCTTCCTGGTATGCAAGCTATGTGTGATTCTTCAAGGGTGTCATGGAGGAGTATTATGGAGTGCTTATTGAGTTTATTGTGAAAGAAAAGAGAGACCAAATCCTGTGGCCTTATTTAAAGAGGTGAACTACCTAACCTCAGCCTTATTAATTCATTTGCAGGTCTTTGTCTTCAGATTCCAGGGTGGTCAGGAGCTCCCAGTTCAGATAATATGGGAAGCTAAAGGATTACAGGTGAGATTTTCTGATTCTGATTACAGATAGGGACATAATGCTGTGCAGGGTGATACAGGATGTTTCAAAAGTAACTGTGCAGTAGAGACATAACCAGTCCTATGCAGGAAGATATATGGCATTCAGAAAAATGTATCTATTGTTAGTGATAACTTACAACAAAATCACCATAAAACAGATGAGGGGTAACAAGTCTTCATTTTGAACTGAAATAATGAACATTTCAGCCACAAAGTCATAGCAATTGCTGAATGTGTAAATTGCTATATTGCTTCAATGCACAGTTATTTTTGAAACACCCTTTACAAGTTGTTGCTTGCTTGAAAGAAACCACCAAGTTGGTGTAATTATTGGCAGCTTGGGGAATACTTTGGGAGCAGCCTAGCATCAGGAGATTTCAATGGTGACCATCTCACAGATCTGGCTGTTGGAGCCCCACTTTCCAGTTCTCATGAAATTGGGGACCATGGATCTGTTACCATCTTTGCCACAGACAAACTGGTGACCATATTTTACAATTTATTGCAAACTTATATTGTAGTCTTCCCCCAGTCAAAGAAATATGTCAGTGCCAATGCTGTTCAAAATCTATTTCAGAACAGTGATAGGAGCAAGCCACAGGAAATACTTGGAAAGAGGGTCATCATTAATGGGAGCAAAAGTCCATGGGCAAGATTTGGTACCAGTATATCGTGCCTAGGTGATATTAATCATGATGGGTATGATGGTCAGTTTCTATTGCTTTCCTGGTTTTGCCACTTGGATTTGGGGAAGTCCCTGAAACTCCCTGCTGGATATGGGATTGATGAAGTGTGGCATTTCAGATTTGGCAGTGGGAGCACCATATGAGGAAGGATCAGGGGCAGTATATATCTATCTGGGGAGCCAGACAGGGATTGTGAAAGTGCCATCGCAACAAATCCTTGCCTCATCCATCTCTCCTTTACTAAAGGGATTTGGGATTAGTCTCAGCCGGGGATTGGACATGGACCACAACAAGTATCCTGGTAAAAATTTATGTTGCCTTTGGACTGCCATGTTGGAAGTAATGAGAGTTTTTTTTTTTTTAAGGCTAATTTTGTAGATGTGTATGATTTTACAAGGGAAATACCATGAGTATGACACCTAAGACACTTGTAGAAGGAAGCATTGCAGGTCATGAAATGTAGTTGTTTCATGAACTTACTGATTGGCAAGTGCCCCAGTGGAATCAGTGATAAATTTCTAGTCTTGATTCATTTTCTTCAATTACAGAGGAAGGGAATTTGGTAAAGAGAAATAAAATTTGCAAGCCTATTCCTTTGCAGTCTGTGTTTAAGAAAGACTTATCAATGGATAAACTTCAAAATGCATTCCCAGGATTCATAATGAAGTTATGAATCCTGAGAATATAATTGGGAAAAACTGTAATTCATCAAATGAACAGATGCAACTGAGTCATCATCCAGAATCTCATTACGATTGCATTGGTGCCATGAGCACCTCTTGTCTGTTAGTTAAATATTCAGCCATTAACCCTTTTGCTGCAGCTGACAAGTATACTTGTCCTGGTGTTTTGATGATACACTGGCTCTTTTGTTCAGAGTTATGGGATGACAACTCAAGAAAATGCCTAGCATTGTTGTAGAGATTCTAATAAAAAAAAACTCCACAGTGAAAGGGTTAAGGGTCGCTGAGGCTTCAGACTAAAACCTAGGTGGCAGGATATTGAGTCTGGCATGAATTGGACTTTTTCTCTCCTGATAGGCAGCCCATCTGCTTTCCATGGAGTATCTAGCTACCATTAGAGTACCATACATGCCATTGTCTCCTTGTGTGCCACAGCAAGGAGATACAGGTGTAGTACATCTTCAAAAATCACTCATGGGCATAGGTACCTTGTGAGTTGCCCAGTGGCCTCCTAAAAAGACCATGATAGTTTATCCCTACCTGAGGGACTGTGATAGGGGTGTGGTGCCTGTGCAAGTAGGTCCCACCTCCTTTCTGGGTGTATCATAATGCATCCATTTTTGCATGAGTCTACTGCATGGCCTATCTTTTAACCCTTTTGGCATCCAGCCCAGATACACTGGAACTTCCCCTGGTGGCCAAGCTAAAATAAAATTAGCCACAAGTGCTACCAGCTCTAAAACTACTGTATAATTTAAACTAGTGAAGATAAACTGACAAAACTTTCAGGGATGACAGCTAAGTGATATGTGGAGTGTTTTTGAGTGGCATTTTTGGATATTTACTGATTTAGTGCACTGCTATCAAGTACAAACTCAGAATTCTGGATGTGTTGTCTATTATGTCAATTGTTTCAAGTGCTCTTTGAGGGATTCTAATTAGCTGCATCTTAAGATTCTTCACTCTCACAATCAGAGGACTGATCACTAACAACCACAAACTGTTCTCCAGCAACATTACTAGTAACATTCTTAAAAAGTCTGAAAATGAGTAATTCTCCAATAGCTTCAATTTCTTCACTCTGAAGACACCATGCTTGCCACTTCCAAGCATGACAAAAACATAAACACGACGATAATGATAGGGAGGAAATGACACCTAACCACATTCTAAAGCATAGGCAATACTGCAATATAATGTTTTCCACCAACAGATTTCACCTACAATGCACACTTCAACAAAGAATAAATATTTTCTAAGCACAGATGTTAAGATGAGTATATACTCAGGATAACATAGGCAAGCAGGCAGTTGCATGAAGAGTACATACTGAGGAGACTGCTGAAAGGGTTAATGGAAAAATTCACTCATCCTATACCCAAATGACCACCTGCACTTTTGTGTGACTGCATGTTCATATTTTGTTACCATTACCCAAACCACCTTTCCATTATCACTTGTACTACTGTAGTACATGATGGCTTAATTTAAAAAAAATTACGATTCATTGGCATTGCCCTGATTGAATACGCTTGCAGATTTTCCAGTGTTCTCTGTCTGCATCCCCATGATCTTTTGTTCCCAGTACTTTTTTCAAGATATAAAGTGTCGATCTTCTTTCCATGTTCTTCCTTCATTTCCATTTGACACTTGTGCTCTCTCTTGTACAAATCCATGTGCAAAAATGTTTCAGGAGCATTCTTCCTGCCGGTAAAAGAAAACCTGATTTATTTCCGTGCACATCATCAGTGGTAAGATCATCATCTATGATCACATCATTGTCAAATTCATGTGGCAGAGTATCCTCTGATGGGGTTCAGGTGGAGCCCCACCACTAGTTTTCTTGTATTCTTTCCTGTACTTCAAACATTTTCCTCTGCATTACCTTTCATTCATTGCCATTGCTCCTTGTGTGGTGATTCATGTCCTGCCAAAACGATGATGAAATCTTTGCAAAACTTTCTCCAAGCCATCATTTTCCTTGCATTGGCTTGAATGTCTATTTCATATGACAGAAAAGACCTCATTGCACAAAGACTGAAAGAGCTTCTTCTCTTCGACGCACCAGTTTTCTGATCTTGGACATAATTATCCTGTTATTCCCTAACTGTAAGAAGATGAATGGTTGACCATGGCACAAGGTATCATGAAGGAAAAACATGCCTTTTGACGTCTCTATCTGACCCTTGAAATGTTTCATACTTATTCTGTTATTCAATCATCATCATTGGCATACATTGGACATACAAAAAAATCTACTCCAAAAAGACACCATTCTCCACCATGGAGGCTGATGCTTGAAATTTCTGCTTGCAGTGTTGCCAAATCTATTCATAGCCTAAATTCTACTAAGTTAGTAGCTACTAACAAGTCAGAAGTTAGTGGGTCTTTGAAAATACAATTATTTTAGTAGCTACTAGCTAGTAGATACTAAACACTAGTCACTACTAAAGTTAGTAGCCCTTTGAAAATGTCACCCTAAGTTACTAGATAATGTGGTTGAAATTTTCGTTACAGACATTGCAGTTGGGTCATATGCAAGCGGACATGTGGTCCTTCTCCGTTCCAGCCCAGTTGCAAATGTGAGTGCCTCCCTCAAGGTCATCCCCTCTCACCTCAGCATTGATGACCGCTCCCTTCATGTTGAAGCCTGCCTCCAATACAGTGGAAACTATGTTCCAGAGCATGTTGGTGAGAAAGAATATTTTCATTGCTCTGTCCTTGTGTATTCTCATTGTCAGCAGGGAATGAAGGATTTCCTGAACACTTTGCAGAGATACAGGTGAGGCTTCAGTTTGATTCCCAATATATCCCACATCGTGGATTTTGGGAGACAAAACATGGGAACACAGCAATCCATTCCTATTCCCAGCAACTATATAAAGGTGGCTACAACTGTCTCAACTTCACTGCTCGTATTCATGTGAGTTGCCTCTCTGGAGATTCAAATGTTTTTTGCAGATATATCATCTTGGTGGAATAACATATGGGGTGTAGCATTTCTGTACCTAACAGCTTTATGGTCATGGTAAGTTTGTTTCTCAAGGGCTGCTGGATTTTGAAGCAATTCAGATGTCTGCAGGGAAGGCATACACTTTTGTGAGATTTCCAAGACTGGAAAAAATTCATTTTATCTCAAGGACAACAGTTTTTTCCCATCCCAAAATATTTGAAGGAAGCCATATGATTGATAATATAAAACTGTGATTTCTGCATATACCCATTTTTGAGACTACACCCATGCAGTGGGTAACAGTGGATTAGTTTAGAATTGTATGCATTGTTGTACAGTGTCTCTTGAGTCTGGAACCATAGGCAGTGTATTTTCTTCATATTTCAGATGGTTTAAGTTGAAAAAATGGCACTATTTTAGGATGAGGAATTAGAGGTTGTGTCACCATGTACCTAGAGAACTAATAGGCACTGCCAAGTACTCAATGAATTGAGCATTAGCATAACATTTATATTGGTAAATGTGCGCTTATGGTTCCAGACTTATAGGATGCCCTGTACAAAAGCTCATACAGTGCTGAATACTGTCTTTTGGACTGCTTCAAAATCACCATTTGTGGGTAAAGTTGAACAGAGTGCATTTGAACATTTTATAAGTATTTTGGGTGTTTGGGCTGTTCTCATCAATCCTAGATAGTTATGGTATGGTATGTACTTTTGGTGTTGATGAAGGATTTTAAATTTCTTTTCCTTCATAGCCTGAGACAAAGGACTTCACCAAGCCAATCCACATCGATATGAGTTATCAGCTGGTAGGTTCCAGTTTGTCAATTGGCAGAGCAGGAAATCTGTTCGCACCTTCAACACATGATGCAGTTACTCCACTCTGGATCAAGGGACCATCAAGACTGAAGAGACAGGCCCTAGAAAGTGAGAGTCCTCTGTTTTTGTTTCATTTAGTAGTGTATGTATAAAAGGATAAATAGAATATGGGCCTTTTTGCAACATGATTGCAGACAAGGGAAACCTGGATGATTTCTGCAAGACTTGCCCAGTGATGGGCAGAGAAATCCAGAGCAGGACAGAGGCCATTGTCCCCTTCCTCAACAACTGTGGGGATGACAACATCTGCCTTTCTGACCTCTCTATCTCAGGGAAATTTATTGGCTTCGAGTGAGTCCATTGACAGTGAAAAACACTTGTGTGTTGTTTTCATGCTATTGGTCCCTTCCATGTTAACCTAGTGCTAGCAAGTGGCTCAGTATGGTGCTATATTACACAGAGTCACTGTGATGGCAAGAAATAATGTAAGATGGCTCTAGCCTTCTGGTTTGTCAGGAGACTCTCTCTATCTACTGGTTCAGTCATTTACACACATCAGAAGGTACTGAATGTCTGGAGATGAAATGGACATCCAGAATGAATTTTATTCATTTTTTGGCTTTAATATAGCCAGGAAGCATTCTACTGAGGATGACATGAAGGAAATGAAAGGAAAGCAAAAGTTAAAATGATTTTCTGTAAAGAGCACAGTAAAAAGCACAAAAAAAGAGTCAACTTGTGATATACCGCCACTGTTGGTCTCAGCCAATATCTTGAGGTTGGTGCTAAATTGAAACACATGGCTTTAAAATTGAGACATTTTTTCTAATGTATATAAAATGTGCACAAATTTTCACTTAAATCCATGCAGAATACACCAACTACACAGCTTTGAAAAAATTATTCTATCTATTCCATCCATGATTAAATTCAATCATTTCTCAATTTAATGAGTATAACTCCTATGCACACATTGTTGCCCAAAAACACAAAGTTCACGAAGTTTTTCTGACCTTCGATCACATATGCCTCCTTCTAATGGCACACTTCCAATTTTTCCTTCACACTTCAAACTGTTCTTATCCCCATCACTTGAAAGTGAATAAATGTAAACTGTCGGCTGGAGAAGCTGTATACAATCTGAAAGACGCTTCCATTCCTGAAAAGAAGAGACAAGATTAGGCTGGATTTGGTGACCCTATATGCCCCCCTCTAATCCCTGGAGGTCCATTCTAACACTAGCACATCCTTCATGATCTTGCTATCTATCATGAGATCAAAAGGAGCAGCTGGCAGCCTTAAATTTTATACACAGTGCAATGATTGTAGCAGGTACAGTATGCTGCTTGGCACAATATTGAGTAAGACCAACGCCGTATTTAGGGGGGTTCATGGGGTTCAAATCCCCCCCTTGAAATTTTTTCCTTAAATTTTTGCCATACCGCTATTCATCGGTGTAAACAAAGCAGTACTTGGTCTCTCCTATCTTTAATAGCATATAACTTATTAAACACTGCAAATTACAAGAAAATCCAGATATGTCAAAAAGACTTACAATGACAAGCACAAAAAAAAATAGCCATACACCAGACCTCACCTCCCCCCCCCCCTGAAATGAAATCCTAGATACGGCCCTGAGTAAGACTTACGTAGAATGACACGTTTGTGCAAGTGAAGGTGTTGGCGGCTAACAAGGGTGGCACTACAACAGGGGTACACATATTGTAAGCCTATAGGGAAGATTCATTCTCAGGAAGGAGTTGGCAATAAGTGAGAATGGCATTATATCAGGTGGCACTATATCAAGGGTTGGCTGTATCTTGGGTGATGTGAAAAAATGCATCCTGTTTGATGCCTTATGAAACTGACTAGGAATTTTAAGTTTGTAGCTTCTTTGTTTTACAATTGAAACATGACAGACTTTTTTTTTCCCTGAAGTTTAAAATATGTAGACCACCTAACTAAAAAAATGCAGCAGTCATTCATGTTGCAGTCAGGAAATTACACTTTCTCTCATGTGGTGGATGTAGTTTCAGCACTGTCCAAAAGTTTTTCTTAATTTGATGACATGAAGCCTGTATTTTTATGCAGAGTTCTTGTCTTAGTTTACTTGATTATGCTGAGTTGAAGCCTGAATGTGGTTGTGTTTTAGAAAAAGGAAGAGTATTCTTAGAGTTTCTACCAAATCATGGGCACTGTTCTGTGGAGTCTCTTCCCTCTCAAGCCCTTCCTGAAAATCACACCTTGAATGTAGTGATGTTTTCCTTCATCAGGTACAACATAATGACTCTGCTAAAGTGAGAACATTACCACGGGAGTACAGCCATAAAAAGCAGGGTTTTAGGTGGCAAATAAGATCCATCTGAAAAGCACTGCTGAAACCACAGCAACTTTCTACATGGAAAAGTGAAATTTCTTATTGAAGTTTAGGGGCTGCTTCTTATCTGAACTCCCAAGAGATTATGAAAACTTTTGCAAAATAAATTTTGGGATGTTTTCTTCCTGATATAAGTATGGCAAAATTTTGACATGAAATTTTATGAACTATTGAAATACATATTAGAAATATATATATTTGAAATGCATCAAATTCTGTACCATGAAATCCAAATGAGACCATTGGAATTTCAAAAGTCATGTTTTGCATCAATCAAGTGGATTCATCCTGTCATGAAAGACTATATCTCTGGGCCAATTTTAAGTGAACTATTCCCTATAGCATACAAGTGAGAATCACCATTAGCTTTTGGAACACCCATTATGATGAAAAGTCCAGGATGCATGTCATTATCAGAGACCATGATACACTGTACATAAACAAGTGTCATGGGCATGCATTTGTGGATTCAGTATCTTTTCTAGATGTACTAGATAATCAATGTGGCGCTGACTCCTTATGTGCTCTCTTGGATGCGTTGATAGTGACAACCACCCATACATTCTGGGTTCATCACGGACAGTGATGCTGGAAATGGTGCTGAACAATCGGGAAGAGCCAGCATTCCTTGCCAAGGCCAAAATCACTCTGCCACGCAATGTCTACCTTGCAAGTGGGCCCCGGGAATGTCTCTTCGACAAGAGCTCTGATGATGAAGAATCTCAGGATGTTCAATTCCTTATCTGTGAACTTGCCAATCCACTCAACCACCTGGAATCGGTAGGTCTGGGGACAGGGTTATTCACTTGCTGCATAAATGGTTCTTATCTGCAGCTTATTCCTTTTTTTAAATACTAACTTTGTGAATAAAGTTGGTAAGATGATTTGCTCCATGGAAGTGTGAATCTTCAATGTTTGTTTAAAAAATATTTACTTTTAAAATGTTATTCATGCGATGGAGATACAGAATTTAACAACTTTTGTCCCTGTTGGTATTGACAAGAAAATAGAGAAGTTGACACTGGAGGTGACAAGGATTCCATCAGGTCAGGAGTGGCTAAATGTGACCTTACAGGCCCTGACAAACAGTGAGGACTCTAACATATCCAACAATATCTTCAACCTCTCTCTTCCTTTGGTCACTGAGATTGACCTTGCTTTATCAGGGTATGCATAAATACCACCTCATATTTTCATTCTGTTCAAAAGATAATAGAACTTCACCCTCTAGTAACATCTTGTACTTCTATAGACGCTCAGAACGGGACCAGTACTACTTCACAGAAGAGAAAGATCGGCCTGAAGACTTAAGAGGGACTCCCAATCTTGTCCAATTCGTTCATCAATTCACTGTAAGAGTTCATTTCTTCTCACAATGCTTTTTTTTATTAACCCTTTCAGACCTGAATTAAGGTTACTATCGGAATAATATCCTTTTTTGCATTTTTGAGCTATTTCACGATTGTAATTGAGATTTTCATGCCTTATATGTAGTTTTCATATTTTGTATAAATTTACCATATCATACCATATATTATATTTTAAACATTTAATTAAATAACTGAAGATTACAAAACTAAAGGATGAAAGAAGGCCTCTGATGGAACTGAGCCATGCATATTTGCTCCCATTGTAGTGTAATATGGAGTGCAAAGTCACAAGAATAAAAAAAAATTGCCAGACACAATGTAAATGCAATGTCCATTGGAATGGATGCCAGGTCTGAAAGGGTTAATCAGTATGGACTTTGCTTTGAACTTCTGGTCATCATTTCATTAAACTGGATATCCCCACAGTATTTAGGTGCATAAATTGTAGTAATTGATTGATGCATCTTATAAAATATTTTTTTATTGAACTGAAACCACTTTTACTTGGCTGAAGTGCTCCATGATTGAAGAATTTCATCAAGAAAGTTGAAATATGCATCACAAGTTTGTTGCTTTCTTTCAGTTGAGTAAGTATCGTCCTAGCCCAGCTCCACAGGTGGAGGTAACATTTTTCTTTCCCCTCAACTTGACTCGCAAGGGCCAGACACATCAACTCATCCAACTCTTTCCACCCAAGGTGAGGATTACTAGAAATGCCCAATAGGGCTTTACCTTATCTGGAAAATGTTCATTTCTAGTGATGCAAACATCCTTCCCTCTTGATTCCTTTGCTTGCAATACTTTAACTTTGGGTATTATTTTACCATGCTTTTGACTTAATTTTTTTGCCCTTCTACAGGCTTTACTGGGAGGGAAACCAATCATATGTGATGTGAGGGAAATGGATAGGAATGGGTGGACTCACAAGCAAGAGACATTCCAACCGGTGACATCTCCTCCTCGTCTCCTTGGGGGTGCAAGTGTCACACTGGACTGTTCTCAGCCTGGGATTTCTTGTGCTGTTGTTGTGTGCTTCGTTGGCCCCCTCTCTTCCCAACCTCCTCCAGCCAGCTTCCTGTTTCGACTCCAAGCCAACCTTAATATCATTGGTAAATTCTCGTGAATAGGTGCAAAATATAATACTGTGCTTAGCTCTTAGGTTTAAACAGGCTGCTAAGTTGCAGCTCTTTAAAGATGATTGAAATTGGGTAGAGCAGGGGTGTTCAATTCTTTTCAGGAAACTGAACCAGATAAGCAGACCATGACCTCAATTGTACCAGCAAAAGAAATAAAAATGTGTTTAAATTAGTTCATGATTTAATTAACAATGAAGAAATGAAGTTTTGAACAGTCCTCTTAGTCTCTTTACCTGCAGATTTTTTATTTATTGATATTTGTGAATTTTTTAAGTGTCATTCATACCAGTGGCAGAAGCTAGTAGTTCCATTGCTGGTACATCTACTAATAGCTGAAAATTATTGTACCTGAGGACAATATTAGTTGCATATCTCAGTCTCTCATGTAAAACTTTTATCATTCTAAAAAAAATGTTTCAATATATCTGTCAAATTATTTAATCAAGTTCAAGTTTTATGAAATCATTATGCATTTCTCCTGTAGAATCTCAATACAGTGTGAAAGGGATGGTCCTCTACAGAAGTGAGGGTCTAGCAGTTGTTAGTGGTTTGCCAGAGACATTTCAACCTCATGATGACTGGTAAATCAATTACATATCCCCTCTCTTCTTCACATGCTCTTAGTACAAACGTGAATTTGATTTGACAGGCCAGATATGGCAACAGTGAACACATTGCTGGTGAGTGGGACCCCCTTGGAACCAGAGAAGGTTGCCACATGGATCTATGCTGTTTCTATTGCTGGTGGCATCCTCATCCTTGTCTTCATAGTTATGGGCCTTGTGAAGGTGACTTTTTCTTTGTGGACCTACTTGAGAATTCCTTTTTGAGCTCATCTCTATAGAGGGAGAAATCCAATTAAGGAGAAGGAGAGGGTGTAAAAATAATGTCTCACATACATAATACACTGTTGAACATTAGACTGGATGCTGATGTAATATGTAACACTGGGTATTATCCTCTTCAGTCCCAGTAACAGACTTCTAAACATTGTGTGTTCTCTGTTTAGATGCCCATCCCCCCAAAGCTGAACTTGATTGCCATATGTCAGAGTGGGGGAAAAGCAATCTGGACTGTGATTTTCAAAATATCAGTCATAAGAGGTCTGCTACCATGGTGCCTGATCTGAGGTTAACACTTTCCTAAGTGTAGGGGATTTTAGAAACCATGATGTGAGTTAGGGGTCCTTTTAAATTTTTTCAGCTGTCATTGGCATCTACCCTGGAACTTGCCATGACAGTGGTTTGCACTTCTGGGTGAAATCAGTTGCTTTAACCTGACCAAATGAAGAGAAAGAAGTATGCCTATAGCCCATTTTGATTCCAGGATAGTGAAAACAGCACTGTACCCAAAGAAGACTCATGACACTGTTTTAGGTGCAGAATTGAAATGGCATCTTTTCCCAAAACTAATAACACAAAAACTGTTTCTATGATATGGTAACTTCTTAGCTTCATTGAAAAGCAAGACACCCTTGAATTTATGTAATTTCTGTGACATTCATAGTTCATCAATTATGAAACCTGCCTGCATCCAGCACTCTTTTTTTTTGGACCCTCAAATATAAATGATTTTGCACTAATATTGATGTGACAACCCAGAGCATTTGAATATACAAGGGTCATCCTAATATTAAGACTGAGTTTATTGAAGCCTTACTTTAAATCCCTGGGTCCTCACAATACTGAACTTTTTCAATGCAATCTATCTCTAACAAAACATATATGCTTTTGCATCATTTGCATCCTGCATGCCAGTTTTCAACTATGCCAATGCTCCTTTATAGGTGCTGCTTTGAATTCTATACTAATGCCCTTTCAGCTTGCTCTTCTGTTTGGGAAGAAACATACATATTAAGGTAATAATAAGGGAATAAATAAGGTCTGACAGGATGAGGTCAAGGGAATGAACAAGACATGGTAGGATCTCAGGACCAACTGGTTTCTTATTCTACTCCTGTAATGTGTGAGTGACATAGTGAAGTAAGAACAACCCCTTACAAAACTTTAGACCTTTTGTGTCACTTACAGTGTCAGTGTCTCACAATGACTATCACTACTGTATACTGCATTTATCTCAACATATGTGTCTGTTGCACTTATCTCATGTCTGACACAGGGGTGAGCCATGCCTTCTTGCTCCATTTCCAGTGAAAGGCAGTTCTTGAGTAATTGGAACAAAAGTTGTAAAAAATTTATTTACAAAACTGTCATCCAACTTACATTTCCTGCACTGTATGGGTACTAAACTTTGACCAAATAAGCTCCATTAAACACTCATCCCCTGAAGTGGGATGGTATCCCATTACTCCTGCACCATTCCATTTTGATGAATTTAACTCTTGCTTGGTGAATCTTGCTTTTTGACTGCTGTGTTACGTCAGTAACACAGAAAAACTCTCCTAGCCATTTCATTTTTTTTAGCAACAAAAAATGTCATTTTGAATGAAGAAAGGTGATGGTGTTTGCCTTCTTTTCTGAAAATATGGAAGCTTCAGGTCAAGCTAAATCAGACAAATTCAAAAGGGAAGCAGCAGAATGGAAACCATTGTCTAAACTGTCACGTCAATAACATGACATGAATGGCTTTCATTTTTTTTATCCATGGGAGAAGTGAGAAAATTTTGACCAGAATAGGTACAGGTATCAATGCTCCATAAGGCCCTGCTGAAGTAGAATTTCTGTGCCAAACCATTTTTAAGGTATAGCATCATACATTTTTTCATTTTGAGTCTGGTGTTAAATCAATAACTTTGGAACTGTCCTGAAACTTCCATCACCACAGATGCCTCAAGTGTATTAGCTAAAACTAATAATTCACATAAGGAGAGAGAGGTCCATGTGACTAAACCTTCTCACTTGTAATGCTCAGTAGGACTTACACTACCCTCATTTTTGTAGTATGGCCAGTAGAAGTGATGCAGTGTTGCCAGTCATCACTTAAAGGACAACTCTTGGAATTACAAATAGTTACTGCTTTTTATGAGGAGCTAAAGTTTCTATCATATAATGAATTACCAGTACAAGGGCTTCCTTGCTCATGCTGCTTTCATTCCCCATGGTAATTCAGAAAGAAGTAAAATCATTTCTATGTAAGAAGTAGATCTTCTTTAGGGCAACCCTTTCTTTGTGACCTGCATAATTTCATATAGATATGCTCTTTAACTCTTAAGTGCCCTAGCCATTTTTAGGTTCTGGCAGGCAATATTACTCTCTTCTGCAAAATCAAGTAATGTCACACACATTGTCACCCTTAAACTAACTCATCATGACCTCGATGAGTGCTGCCATCATGCAAACTCAGAAATACCCATAAAAAGGAAAAACATGAAACAATTGTGAAAGCATGCCATATGGCACACTTGGACATCAAAGGGTTAAATTCTGTAATAATCAACCAAAATTAGCTGGAAAAAAAACTTGCCTTGGTTGCTTTCTGTGCTGCATTTTTTTTAATCATGGAGAACCATCTTAACCAGCAAAGGAAAACTTCACTCTTTTAATTGCTAAAAACTTGCTTGAAACATTTGAGAAAACCAGGATTCAACCCATTTTTGCACTCATCAAACTCATAGAATTATTGGTAGGTGCTTGAAACATGGGATTCTAACATATTCTTTTAGAAATTATGGCAACCAACATCGTATCTAAAGATTACTCTATGTGGGAAATTCCAGTTACTCTTAAGTTGTTCTCTTTGGAAAACAAAATGGGGATGATGGTTCTATCCCTTCATAGAGCTATTACATGGCCTCAAAGTGGCCTGTTGAAGTACTGGATTACTATTACTTATATGAAAGCACTTTTTTTTTTTAAATCAATGAAGAATACTATATTGAGCACTGCCTTATTGTCAACTGATCCCAAGCTGATTGCTAACTGGAGCAACCAAGGGATTCAAACAATCCCATGTAAAAATGTTGCTGATCTGTCCCTACACAGCAAGCAAACAGTCTCCAAGGGAAATCACCACAATTGGGGCTGAATTGTGATTTCATTTCATGGCAATTTTTGCTGAATGAGAGATTCCTATACTGCTGATGAATGTTTTTGTGCTGACAGAATTTAGGTGAGTGATTAGGGCAAAAAATTGGTTTAAGGTTAAATTGTTTCTTAGTGGAGTAATGAACTTAAGTGAGTAGGCTCTATTTCTTTATTTTGCAGCTGGGATTCTTCCGTCGCCAGAAAAAAGAGGAGATGGATGCCATGAAAGGGGGAGACAAGCTGCTGGAGGAACCTCTTGAAGGGAAGAACCACAAGAGGGAGAAGGAAGAGGACAATGAGTTAAATTGAGAACCAGGAGGATGAGGACAATTGTCTAGTCAATTTTCAATGCCAGGCCAGGATAGGTTAATTGCGTGATATCATGTTGAAAAAGACATAAAAATGCCATTCCATTCTTTCATTTTCCCTTTGTGACTGTGATTTTGGACTATTTTCACCTCCTTGCCATTCCTTTTTATTTCAATGAAGCATATACACTATTATCTGAATGGGAATGTTCATTCACCTTGATATATTTATTACCTTTATTTTTAAACTGATATATTTAATATGCTTAATGGAAATAATAAATGTAAATGAAATGCATTCCAAATTTATAATGGTGTGTTTGATTTAACCAACCTTGTCCAAATGTTTAGTGAAAATTTAACCAATTGCAAATCACCTTCATGAATAGAATGCAGATGTATTTGCTACATATTGAATGAGGAATGAGAATACCAAAGTCATTACGTTTATTGTGTAAAAAAAAACATTGAGTTCGTGGTTCATGAAGCATGACGATCACACCTTAAGGTCAGAAACTTGTAGAAAACATTATGACGCATCATAATAATGCGTCATATAATCGAACTAATCAAAAGGGTTTCAATTTTTCTTCCCCCTTACTTTTCATCCTTGACTGACCAAGGCGAAAAGGCATGGCTTATTGATTTGCATGCATCCCAGTTGTGATGAAACTTGACGCACCTTTGTAACCTGTAATCCGGTAATTCACCGAGACAGGATAGTATGACTTTTCCATCCCCCCAAATTAATGGATGTTACATAACCGAAAACGAGGAAATTCACGTCCTCAACGGTTAAATGATGGAATTTCGGTGGACTTTCTTTTTTTTATTCTCCTGATTCTCCGAACTAACTTTTAATGATAATCTTGCTCTTCCTTGATGAATAATTCCTCAGCTGAAGTTTGGTGTATCCTTCAAATTAACTCGTTCATTTTTTGAGCTATTTAATGCTTGGGTCAGCATACCGGCTTTGAAAAGGGCTGCAACGGTTTTTCCTCTGCGAATTCCCGCCTGTTAGCAACTCTTCAAAGTGGAACTTAGACGAGTCGATTCTGATAATCGATGCTCCTCAATTGGATGCTCGACACAGTTGAATAACTGATGCGCAGAATCCGAGGGTGAGCGGTAGGCTTGGTAGTTGGCTGTTCTAAAATGGGATGTTCATTTTGCAGACGGGTCACGGAATCCATTGCAGCATCAATTATCGATATCATTCCTCCTCCTCGATGTTGTATAGCAGCTAATGTATGATTTAAATGTTTTGAATCGATGGGAAGTAATGTTGCCTTTTTGTTATTAACAGGTATAACTGCAATTGAATAACAATAAGTAAAAATATGAAGGAAGTATGAAAGAACATAGCTTATCCTGATGACCAACATCCGACGAGAGTGGCTTGAGCGTCTCTTCTCCTGCATCGACCTGAGTGAAAAACCTATCGAACATTTGTGACAATTCTTTTCATTCAAGGCACTTGAATCATACCTGTATATACTCGAAGTCTTGAGCGCCCGATAAATCTCAGAACGAGCCTATTCGCAGAGCGTTACCCCCAGCTCCATCTCCCAGAAACCGAATACGGAGTCATAAATATAAAAACGTCGAAGGCGATGAATGGGAAATTACCCCGTGATTTCATGTGGCCGTTTGCAGGCTCAGGCGAACAAGGCCCACAATATCAAACAAGAGCAGAAAGTGAAACATTTTCAAGCGGAATCCCTGCCATGCCAATGCATGCATTGCCTGTCCTGGCCTGTCGCCGCTTTTCACCGACGACCTTGACACTCCAGGTTACAGACTCCAGAGCGTAGGATATAAACTTCAAGAGGGCAAATACCGTGTATTCATGAACATATGATTTTTTAATTACATCGAACACTGAATTATATCAAAATGTTCATTAAAACGCCATATGGCTGCTTAGTGGGTCCTCGCGGCTTTATCATTGGAACTACCCGCCAGATATGGTCGCACGTCTTACCCACTGGGGTCCATCGGACCCAGTATCCAAATTTTGCAATGCAGGAACGCAAAGAAAAATAAACAATATGGTAAAATAAGCAGAATACTATTTTGTTCGTTACTGATGACAGTTTGACAAATACCAAAAACTAGCTAGCGCGCCCTCATCTGTCTTCACATCCGACGTCGCTTTCCACAGTGAAGGTTGCTTTTACCAGCAGGTACGAGTGAGACGGAAGCACGAACTGGTCTTCATCTTGGGACGTGAAACCGAGAAAGCCGAGGTTGCGAAGCTAGTTCTAGCTTCGCAACCTCGAACACTGGTATGCATTCGAAGGAGACAATGGATGTATCGCAGGATGTGCTTCCAGGAATCACCCGCATGGGATCGCCCAGACGTCCTTTCGATGGCGTAGCCCCCTAATGGTCTCTCATTTAATTTGAATGCTAATTTTGAATGTGCTTCCTCGTTGAAATCGATAACTAGATCTCTAGCATTGCACATCTCGATTTTAAATTCCTCGAGAAAATGTATTTCTCCAAACGATCGTAAAATTCTGCTATTTACGTTTCTATAGATGAAACCGCCAGGTGTAGAACTCGGGAATATCGTCAAAAGAGTTGGAATACTCCAAGTCGAGAGGCCATGGAATCACGTTCGACTTAATATCGAGATCTCCACTATTTTGGGACCTCGGGCACGAAAATACGTGTTGACTTGGCCGGTAGAAACTCCTCCGTTTAGTGAGACTGTCTCTTGGGCGCAGCATCGAATATATTATATTTTACTGTATCTCAGAGAGGCCCTTGGCCTTTTATTTAGAGTTTCTTATATGAATCTCGTTAAGAGTCCGAACTCGTAGAGACCAGCCGAAATGGTGCGCTCGATTCCGTTCACGACGACGGTATGTTCTTGTATTTTGGACTCATCGAAGGTGTATCACATGCTGCATGCAGTGGCATAGCGTGGTTGGCATGGGCCCTGGTGCAAGGAATGAAACGGGGTCCGCTGTTCAATTTCTCACTATATTGTGGGAGTCATATTTTTTCAATAGATTTTCTCCGGCAGCATATAAATCGTCGTCGGTAGCTGAAGTCAGTGGAAGGCAGTGGCAGATACAGAAATTTTTCATAGGGCCCCCCCTGTTTCCTAGTTCCCAGTCCCCCCCTCTCCCCTTCATCTACCACCACCCTCTGTCCTATCGCCTTATTCATTTTTCGTCAGGGGTAAAAACCCTGAATATCTATTTCACAGGAGCTAATGAACATTAATTTTATTTGCTTTCTACATTTAAAAAATAGACTGCGAACTTGGTTAGAGGGGCAGTCACCCCCTGCTACTTTACGCAAATACTTAACGTGTTAAATTTCCTTCGAGGGCTCCCTGGGAAAGTGGGGCCCGGGGCAACAGCCCCCCTCCCCTTAATCCGGCCCTGGGTGAATGGTATTTGAAGTGGATATCTATTCATTTAACCACACGAAGCAGCGTCCCAGTTGCGAGATGTCTTTTTGCAGTGTCGCGTTAAATTCCTTCGATTCCTTTTGACCTTCCTTTTCGGGTACTGGCTCTCACCTCGTCCCGATGCCAAGGGACTCCCAGCTAACGCCCCCCCCCCCCCCCCTCTTCGTAGCTCGGCGTCTCAGCCCTTCTGGCCCGTGGGCCCTGGTGCAGTCGCACCGCCTGCACATTCGGTAACTACGCCACTGGCTGCATGCTGCTTGACCGATCTTCTCCTTCTCACCGATCGGTAAGGGATTATTTGAGTAGCAGAATAAGAGATTATTTGAGTAGAGTAGTAGTATTTTGTTCGTGTACGCGTTTCCGTGCTACCCTTGCGTTTGTCCTCTTTTTTTTTCACTTGTCTGCAATCGAATCACACGATTCGACATGTACTCATTTTACTCCACTGGTGCCCTAAATCCATCCAAAATACATGGATGCACCTGGAAGCAGAAAAAAGATGCATTTGCCTCGAAATACGTCCCCAAGTCACAGCATAAATATGGTTGAGAACCACTGCTGGATTTCGTGGGCCTTGACGTCGAAACACTCGATCCCTATGAGGGGCCGTGGAACGTTGGCATCGCTTTCAGACCGGAAGAAGAGGAAGAATCTCTTGGTTATTTTTTTTTGCAAGAAAAACAGAAGGGTCATACGAGGAAACGAGAATTTGACGGTCGGGATCGCGAGGAATTTAAAACCGCTCCGCCGAAGGACACCGCATCCAACGGAAGATGGGAGCGATGGTCGCCACGGGTTCGAGCATTCGTAAGAGGAACGAAAAATCTGTCCTCTACCACGGCGACCAGGAAGATACTGTTCGAGGAGAAAAGCCGTCACATTCCTCATCCCGATCGGCGTCGCTCGCCGATGAATCCCCGTCCCATAGGAAGGATCCAAGACGGCGGTCCATTCCATCTTCTACGGTTTTCCGTAATCGCTTCCACACTTGACTTTCTCGGGTCACAGCGGTGCCGTTCGTCCCGCAGACGGCTCACGAGGACTCTGGGACGCGGAAAACGACCGGAGGGGTTCTTCTGTCTTTTGCTGCGCAGTCTGGCCGAGTGGCAAAAGTCATGGAAATCGAGACACGTCGTCGCCCTTTCCGTGTGAACACTTCAGAAGCATTTGGAGCGTTAGGAACCCCCAAACCTCCTGCGTGACCAGATTTCCTAAAGAGGCTGAGGATCCCCTCCCACCCCCCAGTCGTAATTCAACTGCCTAAATGCTGACCCCTCTTTCCCTAAAATCCTGCGTCCGCCAATAAATGGGAAGTAACGTTGCAAGCGGGTGCAGGGTCTTAAACCCGGGTAATAAGATAGACGAAGATCCGATGAGAATAGTCGGAAGGCAGCGTGATTACAGCCTGTGAGGAAATACGAGAAGAAAGGATCGAGTTGGTCCCAAACATCAACAGGATGAGACGAAAATATTTAATAACGAGAAGGGGCAGGGTCATGGAGAACACTGGCGAAAGATTCATCAAAGCCCCGCCCATAAAAAAGGGGCGGGTCGAAGTTCTGTTGGTTGCTATCTGGTTCCAGGGGATCCGGATGAGGAACCGAATGAGGCAGTCGTTTATTTCCTGGTGCAGGGGTCAGTTGCCGTCAGCCGTTGCCAGTCGCCGTCAGTCCCTGCCAGTTGCAGCCAGCCGTATTTTGAAAGGGAGATCCCGAAACACCAAATCGGACGGTCAGCTCTTCTCGATTTTTTTTT